CACAATCAGGAGGTCTGAGAGTGCATGGGGGTGGGTAGTCGTAAGGGGAGTTATGAGGGTTCAGGGGCACCCACATGGCTACCTTCCTGGCCCTGGAGCGATGGCAGCTCTGGGAGGCAGAAGGCATGGCTCTCCTTCCCACGGTAGATCGGGGCCCAGGCTATGTCTGTTTCTTAACTAACAGTAAGCAAGATTATTTAACTGTAGTAATTTCAAAAAATAATATTTCTATGAAAACACCTTAAGACAGGTATGGTTCTTAAAATTCTAAGGTTTTAAGAAAAAAAAATAGCAATAGTTTCTGGTCTGGGCTTAGGAAACCAGAATTATTCCTTCCATTTGGACTTGTGCAGTAACTGGGCAAAAAGAATCCTTGTCACAAGCAACTATTATTTCCCTTTAATCTTAGAAGAATAAATATATGGTCCTATGTTAGCAGCCCCAGTTTTATTCATCCAGCAGTTCAACCTTCAAGCACAGTTCTGATATTTTGTTCTTACTCTAAGCCCTATGTCATATGATTCAGCCTTCAGTTAAGCACTTTCCAGCTATGTTTTGAGGGGGTGGGCTTGAGTGAAAATATTTTAATATGCTTTAAAGGAAGATGCATGTTCTCCGCTAAGGTCAAGAGAGCCTGCCTGCTTTTGAACATCAGCTTGTCACTATTGCATGTTGGCACAATCATTTCTCTTGTCCTCAAGTAGCTAACCTCAAAAGTGAGGTGAGTGCCCTAAGATTTCTTTCAGGGTTGGAACTTACAAAATAAAATACACATAAAATTATAATTTTCTGTTCCTATCAGAACATTCAGCATTTGCCTCTACTTGAATTCTAAGTATGAAATATGCAATTTAAACTAGGTAAAAATCAGATGATTTGTGACATCAAAATATAAAAATTAAAATAGAAGACTTAAAAATTAAAAGTTGGGATATTTAAAAGCATGCTTTAAAAAGAGAGTTCTTCAAAGATGCCCCCCTCAAAATAGGAACTACACTTCTCTGTATAGTGGTAGGAAGAAGAGGACTTTCACTTCATGAACTGGGCAGGAATGGCTTCCAGCAGGATGTTACCACTTGGCAATATGTACCAGGATTCATTGTGTGACACTTTACTGGCATTTCTGTGCTTCCTACCACCACTTTGGGTTAGAAGCTGTCAAATGTAATGGGAAGGATTTTTTTTGTTTCTGTTTTTGATTTTTGTTTTTGTACCAGAGATCGAACTTGGGTCCTTGCGCTTGAAAGGCAGGCGGCAGAACCACCAAGCTAAATCCCTGGCCCTGGAAGAATCTATAAAGTGCTAATCATCCCAACCTCTTACTGCCATTTTCGCTTAGTTAGATTCAGTAGCTTTGACTGAAGCAGAAGCAAGTATTTGATTCAACTATTTCCTTAGGCCTGTCTCCTTATGGTCCCTCTGATGGGGGGGCGGGGCTCGGCCAAATGAAGTATTTGCTTAATGAAGAAAGAAAATCTAGTTTTAGCTATTACAAACTGTGCCACTACAAACATGGGTGTGCATATATCACTGTGATATGGAAACAGCCCATCTGCCCATCAGTTGGAAACTGGATAAAGAAGATGTGGTTTTTCTATAAAATGGATACTACTCAGCCATAAAGAATGAGAAAGTAGATTCATTCATAAGTAAATGGGTACATTTTGAGGATATACTCCTAAGTGAAATAAATAAGTCACACATGTGTAAATACTGAATAGTTTCTCTAGTGTGAAAAACTAAAATAGTACTCAAGATCCTAATGGGGCAATTAGCAATGTGAAATAGGAAGAAAAGGACCAAAGGTGTAGGGACAGTGAGAAGGATAGGGAAGGGGGAATAAGGTAAAAGGAAAAAAAAAAAACTATGAGAAAATGTAAAAATGGAATTAAAGTGTTTGAAGGTGGGGAGGGGAGGAGGGGGTAAAGGGAGGTGGGGACAAGGGGAAAAAATGAGAACCAAAACCTGGCATGTAAAGGTACAAGATCCCAGTAATGAATGTAACTGTACTGTCTACCTAGAATGTACCAAGAAATTCAATTTAAAATTAAAAAAAGAAAGAAAATCTACCTGGAAAACAGAATAGATTAATCTCAAATACTCATAGTGATTTATTGAATCAAAAATATTCCATGGAAAACCTTTTAGAGCAATTCTCTCCCATTAACGGAATAAAAATTTATTTATCCCAGTAATGAATGTAACTGTACTGTCTACCTAGAATGTACCAAGAAATTCAATTTAAAATTAAAAAAAGAAAGAAAATCTACCTGGAAAACAGAATAGATTAATCTCAAATACTCATAGTGATTTATTGAATCAAAAATATTCCATGGAAAACCTTTTAGAGCAATTCTCTCCCATTAACGGAATAAAAATTTATTTCCTCTAGTTTCATAGATGGCCTTGGTGTTAAATTCAGGTCTACAAAAATAAAATGATTTATTCAGAATGCTTGATCAAAACTGGGGAAAGTATCTTACTTCTGCTCCTCTTCAGAGGGGAGGCTTGACTCAAGCAGACTCATAAGACAAAGTCGTGTCGGTGCCCTCACATGAACAATCAAACCTTTTAGGTCCCCATTCAAAAGTTAAACTGTCCAGTCTATTCTGTCAAGCACATCCAGAAGAAAAGCTTTTCTGTTCTACTAAAAGGTTTTTCTGCCCTACAATGAGGTGTCTGGGAATTGAAAGAAATTCGGATAGAATTAAAGGACTGTGAACATGAAGTCGTGTTGTTGCCCAAGCATGAATAACCATTATACACTATTGACACATGCATATTGGGAACAAAGTTTCTCTGGCTCTTAAGTAAAATAAATCCATTGCTCTCCACAAATTAGAATACATACAAAGTTGCCTTTCATATAAAACTTTCACAAGAACTCAATATAAGTAAACTGGGCCCCACACAAAAATTGAAAGTCATTTTCTCACTCTAATGTAATGCCCTGTGGACCATCTTCTGTGGTTCAGGGTAGTCTGTATTTTATGATCAGTCTTCATAATCTTGACCCTGGTTCCATTCCAGTATAAGACAATACTTGAAATACTATTTTCTTCCAGTAGATGCAAACCCTCTAGGAATTTGATGCTTTCCAGAATAACTAGGGCTAACAACGTAAGTATAATCAAAGACACTTTTTCAGAACAGAAGAGATTAGATTCACTTTAGTTTAAATTGTTAAAAAGGGCCCAGGATTTAACTCAGTGGTTCTCTCCCCTGCCTTGCAAGTGCAAGGTCCCGAGTTTGATCCCTGGTACAAAAAAAAAAAAGGTGTATCTAAATAAATTCAAAAGCAGTATATTTGGGCCAAGGATTTGGCTCAGTGGTTTTGCCGCCTGCCTCACAAGCACAAGGGCCTGAGTTCAATTCCTGGTAACAAAACATAAAAAAAAATTGTTAAAGAGTTCTCAATCATGAATTTGTTAATGACTTTTTTATAAATAAGGGAAATAGAATGGTGCATTTTTATTTGTTACCCAAGAAGCCTATTGGTTTCAAGTTCTTGAAAGTTCAATCACCAAGTCTCTTCTTTTAACAACTTGGAAAATGTCTTGCCTGATTAGGAAGTTAGTCATTTCACATTTTGACATGTAAAACAATGCAGTTTTTAAAAACCTCACAAATTACATTTATAAGTAACAGGATACACCACTTTAAGGACAGAAAGCTCAAGGATTTGTGATGCCTTTCTTTGTTCTCCTTAATCCTGTGTTACTTTTTGAGTGTCAGACATTTTGTAAATATCTGCACTTTGGACTCAAACAATAAGTGTTGATCATTAATCTGCTAACTTGGTATGAAACACTATTAAAGCAGGTTTTGTGTTCTGAAAGTTAGACTTCTTTCTGTGTTTGGCATTTTCTTTGTCAATATTATTCCAGCCCAAATACTGTCTTTGTCATTTAGTTTTAAAATCTAAACCCATTATAAACATGAAGTGTTGCCTAGTTCCAAGGGAGTGATCAAGTAAAAGTTGAAAACATCCTTTCAATCTTCATTTTCTGGAGATTGTTTAGCCCTTCTTGTTTTAGAAGTTGCCTCAGCCCTGGTCACAGACATCCCCTGAGGCAACTTTTCCATTTATTTTGTCCATTTAAGGTTAACATATTAGGAGTTTTGCTACTGAGAGATTAAAATAAATACCCTTGAAGGAACATTCTCAAAGCTCCTGTGCCGACCCCTGCCTTCCTCCCTAGGCCCTTTGGCAACCTTTCTTTTCCAGCAGTATTAGGCTGTCCAGTCCAGTGTATAGAAAGAAATATGACATATTCTGGAAATAAACAAAATGATAAAAGCAGAAACATGCTTGTTTATTTGTATACACTGAAAAATAAGAGTTAAACTTCATAACAAACTTTTATAACAGTTAAACTATTATAATAAAGTTTTCACTGATCATTTTCTAAAGTTAATTGGGCTGTGAAAACTGGTTCACACTGGAATGTTATACTTAACAACCCATGATCCTCTCAGGTTTAAAGAACAAAAAAATTCCTATAAATGTTTGTAAGATAAATTAAATTTTTAGTCTCTGGCCATACCACCCTGAACGCGCCCGATCTCATCTGATCTCGGAAGCTAAGCAGGGTCGGGCCTGGTTAGTACTTGGATGGGAGAGATTAAACTTCTAAAATTGAAATCTCTTCTCCATTTGTATCCATTAAATGGTCACCATTAAACAAAAATATAAGTCTATGACCAGGGGACCAAGAATAAATGAAATTTAACTTAAACAGAATTATAAATTTTGGGGCCAGGGATTTAGCTCAGTGGTTCCGCTGCCTGTCTTGCAAGCACAAGGACCCGAGTTTGATGCCTCATACCAAAACAAAAAAAAAAGAATTATAAATTTTGCCCACCTTATTAAACCTTGGTTCAAATAAGATTAACAGTAATGTAGCATTGTTACAGGTACATCAAAAACAAAAAGACACTTTCACAATATTTTGATCCACATGCTAGTGAACAAATTATGCATCATTCTTTTTCTACAGGAAAACTGAAGACTTTACTAACAAACTCCCCAAGGTCAAAATGAATACAGGTATGCTGTCTCTGTTAGTTTTAAATTCTTTATCTTTACTCTCTAAAAATTATCTTGGCCCTGAATCATTAGTTTAGCACTTTGCTGATTCTAAATGTGATACTGTCTGATTAGATATAAAACCTAGAATCATTACTTTATTTCATTGTCTTTGTGCTCTGGTCTGTAGCCCTCAAAGGAAGAATGTTTTGTTCTCTTGCCTAATCTTACTACCCTTATCTCTAATTATATTTTGTAACTGCCTCCTATAAATGTTAGGAATTTTATACATGCATTTGAAATCTCTCACTGAAAATAAGTTCAAAGTCAAGTTGCTCTGGTGAAAATGTTTAAATTTTCCCACTCTATAAATCCTTTATGTTGAAAAAGTCAGTGGATAGAATGCCAAAGCTTCATTGAAAACCTGCTTAATTAACTCATAGCCACAATACACATAAAGTCATAAGCATTTTAATTTTAGATGTGAAAACAGTATCTCTAAATAGCTTAACATCAATGCCTCTGAAGTCTGTATTATATACATTTTAATTATAAAAATATTGTTGATAATGCTATATACATAGAAAGTATAAATGTTTCCATAATAGAAATACTTCAGTTCATGATTTTTCCTTCATTCCCTACCCTCTCAAATTGTATATATGGTTTTCTTATGTACAATAATTCAGCAAAAGAACTTTATCGTTGAAATTGTGTCACTTGTTTTTACATATTACATTTTCCACCTGCAAGTAATTGCTGGAAAATTGTCTTAGCCTATCACCCAAGTCACAAACAAAATCATGGCTTGGGATACTATGTCACAAAAAGCCCATTGTCTTTTTGCTGCCTCTTATTATCAAAGTGCCTAGAGGAAGGGTTAACATCCTACTGGTGAGAACATGTAATCCCTAGATCAAGTGTACAAATGTGCCATATCCACCTTTCTTTTTCTTTTTTTTGTACTGAGGATCCAACTAGGCAGGTGGCAGCACCACCGAGCTAAATCCCTGGCCCCATATCCATCTTTCTATGACAATACTTCAGCAGAAACCTACTCCAACTGGCCTCAGGGAATGCTCTGTTGACTGACTTCTGAGGATGTAGAACAACAGGCAAGGTGAGGGAGGCTTAGAAATCAAGAGAAATGATGACTCTAGAGCAAATGAAAAAGACACTTTAAATATGTTATTAATTTTCCTATTATTATAACCCTGTTATTACAGGTATGCATATACACGTATGATTATACAAAATACGCTGTATCCTTGTGTGATATATTGAATAATTGATCTTCCTATTCAAATAATTCAATCACTAATAACAAAGTAAACATAAAATAATTTAAATATGTTTAGGTCTCTGGAAAAACATGAATATAACCTTCCCAAACATCCTCTCATTTATAAGGAATGAACTTTGCTCTGAATAAAATGCTGATTTGTATAGGATTATTTTGCCTATTTGGATGAATTTACATGTATATGTGAGATATATTCAAACCTATGCAAAAATTGAGTAGAAGTCACTGAAACACTTTAAAATTTCAAAGTAATACTATAATGTTGCTATACAAGCATACCACTTTAAACAACTAGACAGACAGATACATCTACTGTTTTAGGAAATGGAAGTATTGTTGCTGTGTTTTAAAAAATGAATTAGGAATTAGTTACTAGGCAACTAATTAATAGAATTGGCCTCATTATCCACCTCTCAATCACTAAAGTGTTACAATTGTGAATTTCCATTTGTCAGTCGCTAAGCTTTTAAAAAATTATTTTAAACCTTATCTTTGCTTTTAATCAATTACATAAGAAACTAGCCAGGGATAGTAAAATATACAAAATGTGTTATATCTCCTAGATCTTGTGATCCATTATTTTCTAAGGCAAAAGACATAGTTATTGAAGAAAAAGAAAGGACATCCAATAATTCAGACAATATGGTTTACCTATATATGTATTTTCTAGCAATGAAAACAACTTCCAGGGACCCTGCAGGTAGGTAAAATGGGGACCCACAAAGGCTGCAGGTCATGAATGAGTACAAAGATGAGTCCAGCCTGAAAGTTCTTGACCATGGACTGAAGAATGAAAGGCACCAGAGAGTATCAATTCTTACATAAGTGGAAACAGAATTTAATACATTCTCTGTTTCTCCAACTTCACAAAAACACAATTTTTTGAAATAATCTCTTTAATTGATGTTAACAGAAACATTTTGCATTTTCTTGATCTAGATCTTGCAGCTGGCTAAAACACATAAATTGTTTTTATTTTTTGTATCAGGATTGAACTCGGGTCCTTGCGCTAGCAAGGCAGGGGGCAAAATCACCGAGCTAAATTTCCGGCCCTAAAGTTACATACATTGTTTAGCCCAAATATTAGCAGACTTTCTTGGTTTATAGTGATAAATGCTTCAGTGGTTTTTTTTTATGATCTAAGGCAAATGAGATACCTAGAAATTTTATTTCTTAAGTATTTAGGTACAAACAACTTAACCACTTAATAATTACTTAGTGAATTTAACCAGTGACCCTGGATCCATACATTGTGAAGATTTCTCTTTTGTTCTCCGCTTGTTTTCAGATATTCAGAATTAAAATAATAGGAAAATAAAATCACTCAGAGTGATGTCAGTTTTCGCTTTCAATACCCTTGATTACCAACACTTTTACACCAGTCAGTACCTACCAGATAGTCTATATTCAGTAACATTGTCTCCATTTTAGCAGACACGTTTGCATCTCATAGCTATTTTTGCCTTGTCAAGTTTGTTAAAATGCTTTTGATGCCTCTCTGAAAGATAATGCCAATGTAAGTTTCTGCCATTTGTATCTTTCTGTTTTAATTCTCTGTTACAGATTTTTATCCACTTGGCTTATTTTAATTTAATGTTTCTTCAGATTATATTCTTTTGAATTATTTTGGATAGTAAGAAATTGTCATTTTTAATGTATGTTTTAATATACATTTTACATTAAAATAATTTCATCACTTTTGAGGACATTATTAATCATGACTTCTACCAATAATTAATTCAAATCATATTTCCATGTATCTTTACTAATCACAGTTCTCTTATGGTTAATTAAACAGATTAAATACTTTTCCCTACGAAATAAAGAAGAAATAAGCAGCATGTGTCAATATGTGGTGATCATGTTGTCTATGGGTTTACATTGTTTTTTGTCATAACCTTCAAAAGCAATTTGAGTTATTTTGACTTAATGAGCAAAATGACAGGAATGAGGAAAAGTATTTATTGCACATGCTATATTACAAAGGAATGTGGCATGGAATGGAATATATTTATAAATTGACATTAATTTTTTAATTTTAAGAGACTTGTCTTCCCATACCACATAAAATAGCTGATGTATTTGCAATTAATTTACTTAACTCTTGTGTTTAAGTGCAAATACAGTACAGATCATGATACACATATTATTTAAACCTAGAAAATGCAATATAAATCAATTCAAAATTATAGTCTGTGTATTTCAATGCTGTCTCTGATTTCAGCTAGGTTAATAATCTCCATAAATATTGATTAACATAGAATTTCCATAGTGTTATGTGTTTCCTTATAAATTACAAAACATATCAAGCTTATGTAATTAATAACTATTTTTAGGTACTGAGAATCAAACCCAAGTCTTCACATATGCTAGGCAAATGCTTTACCCAATAACTTTTATTTCAAAAATTATTCAAACTATCTTCAGGAATCATAATAGCTAAAATACCATACAACCTAAATAATTAATACAAAAGTATATTACACTACAGCTTTTAACCCAGGAATATATGTAATCCAAAACTTCAAAAGCTAGCTACAAGCCGGGTGTGGTGGTGCATGCCTGTAATCCCAGCACTTGGGAGGCTGGCAGGAGGATAACCTAAATAATTAATACAAAAGTATATTACACTACAGCTTTTAACCCAGGAATATATGTAATCCAAAACTTCAAAAGCTAGCTACAAGCCGGGTGTGGTGGTGCATGCCTGTAATCCCAGCACTTGGGAGGCTGAGGCAGGAGGATCACTGTGAGTTCAAGACCAACCTGGGTTACATCGTGAGTTTCAGGTCAGTCTCAATGACATAGTGAGACCCTGGCTCAAAAAACAAAATAAAACAAAAGCTAGCTAAAGTGCTTATAGACTGAGAAGGTGTTGAATGTAAATGACATAAATACGATTCACTTCTGTGCCTGTGTTTTAATTTATTTTAAAAATGGAGCCGAGTGTGGTAGTGCATGCCTGTAATCCCAGCACCCGGGAGGCTGAGGCAGGAGGATCGCTGTGAGTTTGAGACCAGCCTGAGCTACATAGTGAGTTCCAGTTCAGTCTCAAATACATAGTGAGACTCTGTCTCAAAAAAAAAAAAAAAAAATCAGTGGGAACCAGGCCTGGTGTTACACGCCTGTAATCCCAAAATTCAGGATTTGGAGGCAGGAGGATCATAAATCAACTCGAGTGATATAACAAGTTCAACCCTGGCCTGGACTACATAGCAAGATCCTATCTCAAAAAACAAAAATACTGAATGTCAAATATAAAAGATTTTGTCCTTTTTCTAAACCAATGGCATCTATTTCTGAAACAGACTCCTGTTTTGTTTTGTCTCTTCTAGTCTGGAGATGGCTATGAAATTTGCAGATGTACTCCATGATCACTAATTCTGACTGTTCATCTTTCTCATGAATGTCTGTCACATTTCACTTAAAATGCATGCGACTGCATGTGCTTTCTCTGTTGCCTTGGCCTCTGCTATCACATTTTTTTGCTTCCAGATAGCGGTGGGTGTGCTCGCAAACGTGCTGCCATGTCTGTTACGTTAACATCTGTGAAGAGAGTTCAAAGTTCTCCAAACCTATTGGCTGCAGGTATAATATCACTAACTCACAGAATGTCACACTTGAATGGCTTTACCTGAAATATCTCTCTCTCTCTTTCCATAATATTTTGTTCAGATGAGTATAGTGGCTGTAAATATCCTTTGACAAGTTGTTATTTTTCTTATCCCTAAAATAGCCTCTATCTCTTCTGTTTTGGTTCTAAAAATAAAAAGCCAAAGGAAACTGATATCTAGTAGAAAACATTTAAAAATCTAATTAAAAACAATATTCATTTACCAAAAATATATTGAGTTACTGCAAGTATGAATAACTATTTAAATTTGTATGATCTCATGAAATAAAGTAATATAATATTCCATTAAGATAACTCCTATGTTTTTTGGGAGACCCAGAGTCAAAGAGAGAGAATTGCTGGAAAATGAATCTTAAGGAGGTTGCTTCTTCACAAAAAATTACAAAAAAAAAAGAATAATGAGATAGCAGTTTTGAAAAGGAATTTCACTTTCCTGTGGTCCAATCAGCAAAAGCGCTTCTAATTCATCAATATCTTGGCCAATTAAAATTAATATGATAAAAATATATCCTAGAAGGGAAGGGAAGGGAAGGGATGACACTTCATATCTACCAAGGTGGGTCTCTTCATAATACAAGTCTGTAATGATTTAACCAAGGCTGCAAGCACAGTCTGCATTAGGAGGAGGCTTCTGCTAAGGAAGAGCTAAGCAAAGCCAGGAAAACCCTGTGATAGGCCCTCAAGGGTATCCAGACCATTGGAAGACTGGTTTTTTGGTTGGTTCCTTTCATTGTTGGCTTGTTAGTTGGAGTTTGAGGTTTCCTTGGTTTTATTTAGAAGGCTAATTTGGAACAGAAATGGGAAAACATTGAAGAGTAGTTAAGTAACTTTAATTCTCACTGTTCATATCAGTGTTTTATACACCTACATTTTAGCAGTTGGTTATATATTGAGGTCGTCCTTGGCTTTAATGTACTTGATTCTATATGCCCAGCTTTGTTAAGGAAAAACCAAGTTTCATATGGAGAATTCCATTTCCACCCACCACCTCCACTCCATAAGCGGATTTCAGGGTCCAACTTGAAATATCAGGCCAAGAGGCTCCCTTAATTATTAAATTTTAAAAATGCAAGTTGGGAAGCTGGGGATTTAGTTCAGTGTGCCGCTGCCTGCCTTACAAGCGCAAGGTCCTAAATTCGATCCCTGGTACCCAAAATAAAAATTTTTAAAATGTAAATTGCATTGCAATGCATTTGTTTAAAAAAGTCTTTGTTTAAAAAGTCTCTCTGGATATATTTGTACTTATGCATATGAATGTAGATAGTGCTTAAACTTCAGATACCTCAGAGAAATTAGGCATTTCCTGGATACCTCAGGGAAAATACTGGATACCTCAGGAAAATTAAAATGAAGAGAAGAAAATAAACACCAAGGCCATCATGGAGTTGCATGCCAATATATGAATATCACTGACCTTCTAATTAAGAAAAATCTCGTACATGGACCACTGATGTATCTCTAGGCAATGGCACACTGCTTCAACAATGCCAATTTGTTATTTATAAAAGCAACTGTCAAAAAAATGGTATTAGACTGACTCAAGATTGACATTTTGGAAAGTCAAAAGAGAATATAAACAATTTCATATTATTCAACTTATCACAAAAGGTGTAATGCTTCTGAATCAAAACAGTAGAAAAAGTTTATTACTTCACGAATATGAAATAATCTTCAGTAGTAAGAGTATTTAATGGCTTTGGGATGATTTAAATCTTAAATCACTATGAGTAAGATTTTTTAGAGAATAAAGTCCCCTGAATTTTGAAAATAGACCCTTTTAATATCAATTAGACATGTGAGGTCTTTTTCAAATAAATTTTAATTATATTTTGAAGAAAGAAATCAACTTATTTTACGCACAATCAAATTCTATACTAGCTTTCATGGGAATTCATTTGATAATGTCTTTATGAGAATCAAAAGAGAATTAATAAATATTTATTGCATTCAGTATTGTTGAAATGCAACAGCCCTTACATAAAAGTTAGACTGCTCCCACGAGATTCCGGCCTCCCTCCTCCTTGCAGATCATAAAGTCTGTGAGTCATCAACTGTTTGTCCCCCATGTCAATCCATCTTCTCTTTTCCTTTCACAAGATATGAAGTCCCACTGGATAGTTCACTATAGCACACACTGGTGTTTTAAACCTATGTTAGAACCAAAACAATCAAAAATAGAAAAACAAAGTACACTTCACTTCACCAAACACACTTGGCCATCTGAGAAAACATTTGTACTTTGGCTAAGAAATAAATATAATTTGTCATTTTCCCGTCTCTCTGATTATAAAAATAACCATTCCAAGAAAAATGTAGGTGATAGTGTCAATATAGTGTATTAGTTCAAAGGATTTAAATAAAACATGAGAGCAGAGATCATGATGAAACTGTTGCGTATCCCCAACACCACCACATACAAACCATAATGTTAGAATCACAGAGCTGGGAAGGATATTCTAGAATGTGCATTCCAACACCTCACCCCTCACCAGGAATGTCCTCAGGATAGGGCACGCTCCTTGTGCCAGTGAAGAGCATTACCACTTTCTAATTCTCACGAGACCTTATTTATTTTCTGATGCAAAACTGGAGAATAATGAACCTGTCTCATTTTCTTACTCTTAACTTTTCAGGTAAACAATGATATCTACTAAATAACACGAGGAATTAAGGGTTCTGATCCTTAACATCTTGGCTGTTTCTTAAGTAAATGATCAATAATGTTCAAGTTTGGGGGAAACACCATTTTTCCCATGCATTTGCCAAAACATTTACCACTAGACTTTTTTTTTTTATAACCTATACTCTCTTTCCTTGATATATTGACCCAGGATACTTTGTTATCTTCTTCAAACCACATATGTCCTCCTTTCGGAACTGTCCTTGCCACGATAAAATTAAAATAGGGCAGTGGTGAATGGTATCCCTGTGGGAAGTTATCTTCCAGTGCTTCTGAAGGCTATACTAAAATAGCAAGTCAGAGCTGAGTGTTTCAAGTACTGTATCTACAACTGGATTTATTTTAAAGAAATGTGTACTTCAATATTTTTAAAGAACCAATGGCTTAAAAGACAAATCACCAACATATGCTTCTTCAGAGTATTGCTGCATCCTGAAGTTTTACTCCATGGCCAGTTTTCTCTCTTCTCCTTTCTTTTAATTCTACAATCCTGTCAACTTTGCTAGCAAGGCCTTTGAGTAAAGCGCAGCACTATTAATATCTTGTGTTTCCTGTAGCCTAGAGGGTTTGCCCTCTGATTCTACCACCATAATCTCCAGTGTGGTCACCAGTGTGCAGAAACAACTGGCCCTCTACAAACTATGTGTTGGAGGAAGTTTATTCTAACTGTCCTTCAGACCAGCTCATTAGACCTTCTTCCTAATGACACCCACACCCTCCCTGCCTCAGGTGTTTTGGCTCCTGTTTGGTCTACAGCCTGCACATACCTGCCCTTTTTTTTAAATCCTGTATTTTGTCAAATAAAAAGTAAACTCTCTATTCTCAAACAATTATAGCATAAACTACAATTATTACTAATGCTCTTTCCCATTGTGTTGCCCTTTGCCTGAGCCCCCAAATTTGTTTTTTGTCCAATGTGCTACACTCTAGTGGTTACTCTCTCTCCCCAAGTGCCCCAAAGCAGAATTCTAAAGATTGTTCTGTATTGCTAAGCTATGTTTGATAACTTTATGTTTTCACACCCTTTAGATTAATTAAATTATGCCTTTCAATCAGTTCAGCCTCCATCAAAGCCTAGAAGTAGGGTCTAGTAAACATTTCACTTGTAGTTCTTCAGTTATTTTTATTATGTGTACTTATTTTTTTACTCTAATTTTCATTTGTTGAAGTTAAGTGATTGAGTGTGATACAGAATGAACTTTATTAGTTTTATCTAACTCATGACCTGGAGTCATTCTAAAGTACTTTTAGCTGATTTATTTTTTTCCATTAATTTGGAAAAAATTTTGTCTCAAATATTTTATCTAAAAAGCAAACACTTGCATTTCTCAGCCCATTTTTATCATTCCAAATTCATATGCTTAGATTTCGAAATAATCATGTTCAAAACATAAGAAGGAAAACATTAGAAGGAGTCATTGAAATAACATCAATTTAATAATGGTCCTAAGGAACATGTAGAAGAAATCCAGAAACAAGATAGCAGGTTAAGCTAACTGACCCCTTAATATCTTTCCAAGATCGACTTTATGATTCTTAGTGAGCTCTAACAGAACCAAGTAAAACAAAATGATAATCTCAAAATGCGTACTTGATTACCTCAAATGTGCATATAAAAGTTTCTGGAATGTATGATTCCAATAAAATTGTTAATAAATATATGTGTATTATTGCATCAATTTCCATCTGCATTATCAAAAACTATTTATTACTACTAAAGTTTATTCTTCACACCTTGCAAGCTGAAGGAAAATGGAATCAGTTGTAACAGCTCTCTCATTTTTTAATAAAAAGACACTTTTAAATGACAATAGGAAGAACACAGTCTAAAAAAAGTCACATATTAGTTAGATACAATTGCCACTTTTTAAAGTTTAAAAAAAACTAAGAAGATTCTTCTCTGTCTCACACAGAAGTTAAATATAGTCAGTCATAGCAGGACTTTTACCAGCTAAGGATCTGGTGATTTGATTTAATACTATGAAAGCTAACTAGAGTTTACAAACCAGAACCTTTGTGATCCTTTAATTTGATATTCAGAAATTTGTGTATCCATCTTGGACAACAATAGGCTTAAAATGATATAGCTGCAATATTATTAGAGGAAAATTAATGTTTGATATATGTGTTAATTATGTACTATCATTATTTTTAAATAGATAATATTCCCATTCAAGTTAAAACTAATGCACAAATGTTTCATTACATTTAATGTACCCAGAGTTTTAAAACTGAGATAATGTCTGTAGAGAATATGTGGTTCTTTGCAAATATTTTTACTGAATAATTCATGTGTTTCATCCTGGGATTAATATCAACATATTTTTTTCTTTCAGGGCGTGATTCTCAGTCCCCAGACTCAGGTACACAAAAGATATTCTAAGTAACTCTGACATTTGTCGTGAGGATTTTTTGACACGTGTAGCCACAATGTTCCTACATTAAACTTAAATTATCTGTTAATTGTATAGTAAATTAAAATTCTAGGAAAAGCAGCTTGAGTTTTGAAATAGAAATCCATTTTCTTTAAAAGGTGTTTGAGTGAATGCAGATATTTTTGTATCCAATTTGTTTTCTCTTAACAAAAGCGTGGAGATCTTACAATGATCGAATCCAAGAACTGAATGGAGATGCTACATATTCCTCTCTTGCAGCAAAAGGTTTCAGAAGTGTTCGACCGAACCTACAAGAAAAAAAATCTCCAACTCAGGTAATCCTGCACTCTCTCAGTCTACTTTGCTTTGAAAACATTGTTACTAGATTACTGCTCTGAAAACTCTTTCTTAGAAATCTCTTTCCTATTTTATTTTTACTATGCTTTTGCTTTTGTAGTTGCTTTTTTGCTCGACTTTTTTGCTAGACAACATAGAAAACAAGTTTTAAGTTCAAAACAGGTGTTATATGGGCAGTGTTTGGTTTTGGTTTGGTTTTTTTTCCTGAGTAAGTTCATAAAAGTAGGTCAGCCTCTAACATAATGTTTAGGATGTATTCTAATTCTTAATAAGCTTACTGCTGATGTTTTGGGATTTCAAAGTTATAAGGTCAGCAATGCATTATGTATTTAATAAATAGTTCAATTTTATTAAAATTTTCAGAATGTAGATGAAGGCAAACTTGATAATGGATTCTTTAAAAACAAAATTTATTTCCCCCAGGGCAACTTTTGACAATAAATTAAAATGCATTGTAATGGGAGTAAAAATTATTATTCAATCCAGCCAACAAAATGCATAACAAAAAGATAGAATGTAGCTTTACCTTTAAGAGCAGGGCAGACACTGGTTGCTTTCATGACTAACTGTAACTTTCTCTTTGTTTTTCCTTCAACATTATTTCTTTTTCTGGATGCTCTTGGCCATGTAGGCACCCCTTCCTCCCTCCTGGAAGGAGAGCTTTTGTAGCTGCTTGATAACCAATCACACACAGGGTGACATTTTAGACTCATCCGAAACAAACACAAAAACTCCCTCGTGTACAGAATTGTTTACTAACAAAAAGCCTCTTCCAGGAACTATGCACACTAATGATGATTCTAACCCGACAATTATATATTCTGAAGAATCCAACACAACTGTGTCATATACACAAAAAATTACTAATCCACTCCCGGGAGCTTCCAGCACAAGTCCTGCACCATTTGCTGACATCAATACCCCATTTCTACAAGAGAACTACATGCGAGATTCTCAAACGCAGAGAATTTCCACCTTAAAACTAACCCATAACCAGGATCCGAGAAGCACCATCCCCTTTCATGTTCCACAGTTTTCTAACCCTGTTGAAGTTCCTTCATTTCTCAAAAAACCTTGCTCACCACCCCCTAACCCAGTCCCTGAGGTACACACAGCATCTCTTTCCATTCAGATAGCTCCTCTTTCAGGACAAGATCCTGAAAGCCACAAACAGCTACCTGAGCTTTCTTCAGAGACTACAAAGATACCTCTTCAGCAGGAGAGACAAAAATCTGCAGCTGCTGCGACCTCTCAGTCCTCAGACTGCCCGGTGATACATTACACTTTCCATTCTCTTCTTACACGTGTATTGTAGAGTCCCTAACTCCTTTGGTTTGGGCTTCTTATATAACCGAATGCTTTGTGAACTTCCAAGCAGGGAGGGAAAGGAGAAAGAAACTGCCTTACAATTTAAAACCTGACTAAAACAATAAGTAAACATCTGGGCATTTTTTAATTTAAACACACACATAAATCTTTCATTAGAAATGCTTTCAAAGTTTCTCCCTTCCAGATATTTATTAGAAATCACTGACGAATCAGTTATCATTTGAGACCGTGGAAACCATTCCAATATGTAAAGTATTTTCAGGTTTCAAAGAGATGTTTTTCACGTCAGACCTTTCTGTAGCTAGATTTAGTTTATTCAAATTCACAAAACCTCTTAAAATACTTGTCCGTTATAATTTGCTTTAGCAGGAGACATTTACCTTAATTTCAAGCAGTGTTAATCCGCTGTGGTACGATATTAATTTTCACTGAAATGTGATCTCTTTGTCATGTTAGAAAGTGTATCAAGCAGCCTTTATTACCCAGACTTTGAGAATGTAAATACTTCCACATATATAAAACTCTCACAGTACTATTCTGCTGATATTCACTGTATCTTTAAAAGAGAGATTTATTCCACTTCAAAATTTCTCCACAAAATAATATCAAAATGATTTTATTATTTTTGAAAACAGAAGTTTTTATTTTGTTTGTTTTGTTTTACAGCTCTAGGAATTGGAGTCAGAGTTTTGTGGGGGGGAACACTTTCTGTTTTCCTTTCATGTGGTTTTGTCACCCTCCAAGCTAACCAGAGATAGCTTAGGTACACAATTCCCTGGATATTAGCATGATATGAAAGTTAAGCGTTAAGATCCTGTCACATTTTTCATTCAACAAATATTTATTGGGGGCCTACTGGGTGTCAAAGTTTAGTTAGAGCTGGATTTGAAGCCATCAATACTTAAAATCTGGTATGTGTATGGAGGATTGAACATTGATAAACCTTTAAGCAAAATACATTAGCAAGGGATTATGAAAACAAAATTAAGCAGTGCTAAGTAGAGATGTCAGAAGCACCTGCCATGTTAAACAGGACGGTCAAACAGACCACAATGAAAAGAGGACAGCTTTGAAGGTGGAAGAATACTAGGACAAAGGGAACATCTAATGTAAAGGCTTTCGGGCTGAAACATGCTGGAAGCCAGCGTGAAGGACAGGAAGTGAGGCACAGAGTAATAAATAGGAGGCAAAATCAGAAGGAACAGAAGCCTGAAGAGAGTCCTTGTAAACCACTGCAGGACCATGGCTTTTTTATTCAATAAAAATTAGAATCATTGAAGGATTTTGAGGCAGCCACTGTTATTTTTGGGGTTTCTAATTTTATATAATTTTCAATTTCTATTTTTATTAGTACACATTTGCAGTACATAATGATTACATTCATCGTGGGGGTAGGGACATGTACATAACATATCAATCCTTGTATGCCTAGTGTTCCATTTTGAGGGGCAGCAAATAACAATGGAACATAAAATTTTTCTCTTCAAATTCTTCTTCTTTTAATTTTTCTACATAACATATATGAGTTTCATGCAAAACTTCCAAAACTTGCAGCCCTTGGCATAAATGGGTTCTTGTTTTATCTTCTTCTGCTCCCCTTCCTCTCCCTCCCTACATCTCTTTTAGCAAAAGATCTAGATAATTGGAAATTTTTCACTCTTTTATTTAGCTTTTAATTTTGTTTATATTTGGGGTGTCACCATGAGCGATTTAAGCTTGTGCACTATTGTTTGACTTGCATTTTAACTAAATCATTCTAGCAGCTCAAGTGAGAACTCCCTAGAGTAGGGCAAGGAGGAGGGCCAGCAGCCCAGCCAAGAAACTATTACAATAACTTAGGTAAGAAATGATTGTGGCTTAAAGCAAGGTGGAAGCAAAAGAGATGGTGAGAAATCCAAATGTGTGAATGTATTTTGAAAGGCAAGCCAACAGGGCTCCTGGAAGACCGCACGTGGGACGTGAAGGGAGGAGGCAGGTTGACTTCAGTGGGAAGAATGGAATCGCCATCACCTGATACCCAACCGCTGTGGGTGAGGAGGGCTAGAGGGAGGAGCAGAGGAATATTGGACACATGCTGAGTTTAAGAAGTCCCTTAGACCTACACGAGGAGAAGCAGAGCGTGCAGCTGGATGAGAGTTTCTTGTCCAAGAGAAATTAACTCTAGAGTGGAGATAAAAAGCTTATGAATGCTTTTGTAACCATGAGGCTGAGGCCACCAGCGAGTGAGTATGGAGAAAAAAAGAAGTCCAAGAATTGAGCTCAAGCAAGTCTTAACATTAAAGGAAGAAATGGCTAGAAAGTTTAAAGAGTGTCCTCCAAGGGAGGAAGAAATCTAGGAAAATTCAGCATGCTAAAGCCAAGGGAGGAAAATTCATGGAGCAGTTGATATGGCTAACTGTTCAAATGCTGCTGATGGGGGCAACCGTAAGATAAGATCGAAACACGTGACCTTGACTTAGCAGCGGGGAGGAGGACACTCTGGGAGTGGATTGAGAAAAACTGCAAAGAGAACATCTAAACATCAGTCAAGTCTTTTGTGGTGCTCTTAACATAGCAGCCTTCATCTGTTATTCACTCTCCCTGACCTGTTTTGTCATCTATAGGACCAATAATAACATTCATCTCAGAGAGTTGCTATGAAGTTTGAATAAGAAGCTTGGCATAGTGCCTGCCTATTTTAGATCATCTATGACCTTGATCTGTGGTAGGGACTGCATGGCTGTCAAGGTCAAGGCTGCTGGTTAAAAAGAAATTTTGTATTAATATTCTGTAGTTTTAGTATTAAGATACTGTAGGGCCAGGGATGTAGCTCACAGCAAGGGCAAGGTCCTGGGTTCCATTCCCAGTGCCAAAAAGGAAAAGTAAAAAAAAAACAAAGAGGCTGTAGAAAGATCTTTCATGACTGAAATGCAAGCAGTACAGCCATGATGTCAGCAAGCTAGGGAATGACCAGATAGGTGCCTTCCTCCCCCTCCTCCCCCCCCTCCCTCTCTCTCTCTCTCTCTCTCTCTCTCTCTCTCCCCCCCCCTCAATTTAGATGATACATAATTATCTCTTTCCTCTTTTAGTTTTGGCCTTATCCTTATTTCAAGTTATGTGTGTATTTCTATGACATTCTCTGATTTCTTACATTTGGATACTTAACCCATAACTACCTGAATGGGACATTCAGAATTGCATAACTGAAATTCCCAGGAAGGAGGGAGGATGCACTTGGCCCAATTTTGTTCTGCTGTTCCTCCTCCTCTATAATCGTTTGAGGTCAGAAAACTTCATTTCTTAGTACACATGCGGCATTTTTTGTCACTTCTTCCTATCCTCTTAGAAAAGGCTGTCAAAAAGGAGGGAGGTCATCATAGGAGCGCTACAGATGGGAAGTAAAGCCCAATTATTATACAAACCTACCCTAGATATTTTATCAAGTGAGAAAATAATTCTTCCCTCCTTTGTTCACATTTTATTTTGCTTCTCACACTTTGCTCTGACCATGTATGAGATGATTCTCAGTCTTCTAGTGTCTAGAGGCTAATCCATTAATACGTAGATCAGGGTCAAGTAAAAGGATTCCAAGTATGTAGTCTAAACAGTAATTGACATCTCTATAGCACGATAGTTCAAAGTGTCTGTGGGTGACCAACCACTGAATCTCATAGTTTTAGTTATAAAATTAAAGTTTGATGTAACTTAACAAAGGGCATTTCACTTGTTACACAGACACACATACACACACACACACACACACACACAGACTGAAAGTTGTCTGGCGGTACTGAGGGAAGTGGAAGAGTTTAAAGGGCATTTCACTTGTTACACAGACACACATACACACACACACACACACACACACAGACTCAAAGTTGTCTGGCGGTACTGAGGGAAGTGTGGAAGAGTTCTGAATTCTCTTTGGAAGAACAAATGAATGAATGTATGCAGATCATTCTCAGGCACAGAGCTGTAAAATCAAATTCATGATCATATCACCTATGATCGTGATGATTTTAGAAAGAGCATGCTCTAGCTTTTGACACATTTCAAGCCAAAAGGTATAAACACATTGATGTTTTAAGAGCCACAATCATTACATTTGTCCTTCTAATTTTAAAGGGGAAAAAGTCATACTTGAGCTGATAACTCAAGTCCTTTGTTTGACTAACATGATTTAACAGAATTTTCACTTAGCATCAGCAAAACTCAAAAAGATTTATTTTATATAGAAACTATCAGAGTAAAAGTTCATTATGATAACACATTCCACTAATTCTACCTAAAGATTATTTATACCTCAATTCCACTTGGGCTTGCAGAAAAATTTTAATGTGTTAAACTATAACTACTGTAGTTTTGTAGTATTGTAGCTTTAGAGCCGAGAATTTAGCTCAGTGGTTCTGCCACCTGCCTCGTAAGTGCAAGGTCCCGAGTTTGATTCCCAGTACCTCCCCAAAAATGTAGCTTTATCTCCCATAAAACCTGAAATTATTATAAATATTTACTAATATAAAGGATGTGTTCCTATTAAAATATTTTATGTTTGGGTAACTAATATTTCTGTTGGTTAATTCTAGAAAAAAATTTTTGTACCAGGGGTCAAACTCAGGTCCTTGCACTTGCAAGGCAGGCATGGTGCCACTGAGCTAAATCCCTCACCTTAATTCTAAAGACTTTAAATATATAAATAGTAAAAGAAAAAGTATTGCATACTATGTTTAAACAACAAGAGAAAAGCTAATGAAACGAAAAATGAAATAAAAATTAAAAGCTAATGAAAATAAAAAATATGAACAAGAAAGCTGTCTTTTTATTTGGTGTTGGCTACAACTTCTCAACTTTAGATTAAGGATGCACTTTAGTGTGTCTATGAAACCCTAAAGTTTATGCAGAATTTTATATGCATATGGATTTGTGCTTTTTTTCCTAAGAATCCATAAATTTTAGTGTTTCTTAAGGATCTATGACCAAAGGAGACCTTTTATATGGATTTTTAAGTACTCAATTAGAAGTCTGGGTAAAAAAAATAATGATGACTTTCACGAGGCCAACAGTCTGTATGACATCAGCTGTTATGAAAATTGTACTGGCCAGGAACACCAAATGGCACCACTTAAGTCTTTACTAGGCCGTGTTTCTAAGTTTATACATTTCTCCTTAACTTATCCCAAATCTTTGCACTAAAATCCCCCAATATTTCTAGCTAATTTAACTGACACTATCTCAAACACTACAAACTATTCTGAAATGTAGGGAGAAAAAAAATGCTTCAGTCTCTTTCATTCCTTCATTCGTTGAGTTTGAGGCTTATCTTCCCAGTTGACATCTGTGCTCATGTGCCCTTAAGGTTATAGCAAATGGCTACAAAGACATAACGAGCCACCACTTCTCCTGCTGCAGACTATCTCTCCAGCGTGGTTAGCTTCTTGGCTTAGAGACACAGCTGTAGGGCCTGGGGAAGAGAGTGTCTTAAAACCTTTTTTTGTTTTTCCTTCAGTTTCTTTCTCCTTTGCCTAAATGCAATACCAACAGTACTTCTAACCAACTAGTGTGCTTTCTATTGCCACCCCAGGTTTTTATTTTCACACACAGATACCTCCATTTTCATTGCTAAGATATTTTGAATTTCAATTCTTTTAGTATTTTGTAGTGAATTTTTAAAAAAAGATTCAATATATGGAAAGAAAAGAATATAATTCTCTTTTCACTTAGTTGTTTTTAGTTTGATCAGCATTTAAATCCGTAAGTCGGGGGTGGGGGGATGAAGCAAACTTGTTTATGATATGGAGACGCTTCGAGGCTAGGAACTCAGTAGAACAACTATGTTACAAGATGGTTCTGGTGAAAAATCAAACTACTCATTCAACCGACAATCTGATAGCATTTCACTATCACCAAGACAGAAACTAAAATTTCTGACAGAGAGATTCCATTATGTCAACGCTCTCGCCTCCCTACCCAAACTTACATTGCAATGTTGTGTGAAAACTGATCTTGTTCCCGGAAAACACTGACCGCATTCATTTTCTTCCTGTTTTCATGCTTTTACTGTGCTGTGCGGTGGGCACCTAATCCATGAATGTATTTCCATGAAGTGCTTGCAGATAAAACCCATGCTTTGCCTCCTCTGCCATGTTGCAAACAAGGATCTGTTTTTTGTTAATTGGATAATTTGTATCTTTTCTTATTATTTTTCCTCAATCTCGGCGTGGAAATCAGCACTTAACTGCCAGTGTGTGGGCGGTAAATGCTTCACAGACACACAGACAAACCACATCAGAAGCCTCTTCTTCGTGCCCTTCTCCTGTGATTCCATTTAACCAAACCACCTTTTCACCAGGCAGTGGCTCCAGCCCAGTATCAGCACCTGATGATCTGGGACCTTCAGGCCTGTATAAGGCTCAGGGCTTTCCACACTATTTATATAAATACCCTACCCCAGCTCTTGAACGCCTTATCCACAGCCAGGACACAGGCTCTCTCAGGACAGACTCCCCCCTCTCCGAGAGCGAGTCCTCCACAGCCATTCTGGCTGAGCTGCAGATGGGTAACTGTGACACCACTGACTGCTCTGAGACACCTTCCCCAACCTGGGGTCAGAGGTCTGCTGTGACAGATGGCACCATCTTAACCACCCCTGCTGCCACTCATGTAATTATTCTTCGTTCCTTTGCCTCCACCATGTTTTGAAAAGGATTGATTTCTTCTCTGCCATCTTGTTTTGCAGCTGAGCTCTTTTATTGGCATAGGTGTTGATGAGCAAACAGATTCTATACCACCTGAGGAAATCCAGTAGAAGCATTCTTATTAAGCCTACTTTGCACTAAAAATTTACGTATAGTCTCTTCATTCATTTTATGGTTACTTATGGTTATTTCAGATTGGTTTACTAGGTTGCTATGGTTAATGAGTTATACAGTGATTGCCTTACCAAGAAGTTATCTCAGAAATTTAGATAAATATGAATGGTAATATTGTTATGGTTAGATTACAGAAAAAGTCTCTAATGTTTCAAAATTTTTAACCTCGTATTAATGCCTTAGAGTTAAAAGTATTCCTAACAGGCTAATATGTCCTGTTTCTTGCCTAAGTGATTACTGACCGCATCACACTGATTCTTCTCACTGTTTCTTCACTAGCAGGTATATCCTTTGAAGTCCTCTATCATACAAGAATGAATGGTGCAAATAATTTTAATAGGAAATTTAGCCATGATTTTTTGGAGTTATCCTTTCTTAGCCATTACAGTATAGAAATTTATTGTTTTTTATTTCATATGTCAATGTCATCCATTTGTATCAATATGTAAATATTTTCATACATATTACATTACTAGAATCTTTCTAGGTGTTAAGCAGGCCCTAAAAAATGATATGTGAATAGCTAAAATACTTTAAAATATTATGACACAGATTTTCAGTTTTATGTGCTGTAGAGGTAGTGGCATCCATTTGAAAGGCAGATAATTTGGGGTAAAAATGGGAATTTTTTTCTGAAATTGATATTATGATAAAGTTCCAAATAAGTGCTGCCATAAATAAAATTTTATTGCTATAGTTTCTATATTCTATTAAAAACACAAATATGTAATTTTCATGCACACAGAAATATTAGTGAGCCAGATATTTTTAAGTACATTGCAGCAATAGGAAATAAAAGATACTTTTTTTAGATTGACTTACTGTGTAGTGTATACTTAAAAGTACCAGTAAAGTCAATGAAAAAAAATATTCATCCAATATCCAGGTAGAAAATATTTTCCAGAGCTAACACCACCAAGAATTCCTATTAAGCCTTTGTTGACATGCCCCTGGTACCAAGTACTCAACAGGTACAGATCTCTCCCATGTCCTACTGTGCTTGAAATGGTTCTTAACTTTTAAATACTTAAGAAGTGTTATCAGGACCTTTGGCAAAGAAATACAAAGCAGTAAAAATATATTAATATTTTTACTAACCTGTGCAACTTTCTCTTTAGGATGTCTTTGCGATATTCATGGGGATTCTGTTTGGGATCCTCATTTATTACTTTTGTGTATACTAAACAGAGGTTTTGTGACTGAAATTAATTCTAGTTTATTATTTTTTACATAGAGATCCTCCATGAGACAATAACACTGTAAAGTATTTCCTAAAATTCCAATGGTATCATTTAGTTAATAAAATCTCAATTGGTTTTACAAATAAAACTTTTAGTGTTTTTACAAATCCTTAATCAGAACTGAAACTATCAAAATAGGATTCAGAATCAGTTTTCTAAGTTTACTATCCCTAGCCCAAAAGTTCAAAATTCAAAATGTTCAGATAATGAAACTTTTTGAGCATTAGCATGATTTTGGAAGTGGAAAATTTCACACCTGATCTCATGTGATGAGTCACAGTAAAAGTGCAGGTGCATAAAATTTTCTTCAGACTATGTGCATAAGACGTAGATGAAATATAAATGAATTTCATGTTTAGCTTTGGGTCCTATTCCAAGGATATGTCATTATGTATACACACATACATACATTTATATATATATAATTCTAAAATTCAAGAAATCTGAAATATTTCTGGTCCTAGTATCCTTGTGGTCTTTAATTAAAATGATTCCTCTACTTTTAACATTAATGATAACACGTTATAATAATGATATTAAGATTACTTTTATAAAGATCTGGAAAACTTTATTTGGAAAGGAGACAAAAATATTCTCAAATCATTCACCAGAGGTACAAAAAGGCTCTGAAGCATTTGATCAGGCCTGTGCCTCACATTTATTTGATTGTCCAACTATCTTCACATAGAAGATCCCCCAAACTATGGTTAGTTGTAATATAAAAGCAATTTTTCTAAGAGCTTAAAAAAGTATTTAATTAGTACAGTCCTTGTAAAGAAATGTGTATTGATTTTAAAACATATGTGATATGGCTACAAAGTAATGAAGTTAGATTTATTCTATGTCATTTGAAAACATAACCCATTTTAAATTCAAAGCATGGAAATATGCAATTACTTGTCTGTTTAATCTTGTTTAATAGAACTTTATTTTATCCAAAATTAGTAGAATAAATTTACAAATTATAGATCTTTGTGTGCATGTGTCCTAAGGGAATTTCAATTTCATAATTGTTCTTAGCTAAAGTTTGATTTAATTTGCATGCATTCATATCATTGCTGGAATGCTCACTGCTGTGCCATAGCTAGATAGTCCAAAGCTCAACTTCTGTAAATAAGCTAATTACATTCAACAGGATATGTGAACATGAACATGTAGCGTGAATATCTACCATATTAGCACCAGGTTGCATGTTATAAAAATTATTTAAAAAGCATATAGTTGACCATCTCCAAGAAGAAGCTTGATATAGCATTGGGGACGTAAAACACCCATATATAAAACAAAAATTATTAATAAATCAGAGTGCTACATGAGATTGAAGTAAGGAGAAGACAGTGCTTTAACAAGTCTTTCAGATGCTTTACCAGGTATGTGACTCTTCTAGAATTAGTTGCTCTATATCTAAGTCTAGCCAATTGTCTTCCTTAGGTTAGTCACCATGCTGGGGAAGCATTTACTCACTAGAAAACATCCGTAACTTAGCCTAAAAACAACCCATTTCCTTGTGTCAGAGAGCACTGACTTCAAATCTTGCATGGAAAGTAGTGCGACAGTGATCTGACTACTTAAGTCACAATTGCAAGAGCACATCTGCCCTCCACATTTATTTGGCAGTGACTTCTACTGATACCACTGGGCACCTCTTTGGCGGAGTGGCATGCCCACTGGCCAATGGCTTCCATCACTCCTACCTTCCTAAGCTCCTCCCATGCCCTCTGACATATGAAAAAATTATTTTCAGGAATAAAAGGAGAGAGAGAGAGAAGACTGTGAAAACATGTGCCCTGCTCCTCTTACATCAGTTTTTAAAATAAATAAAAACTTGGCAGTGTGTTACTATCATATGATTGGAGGATTTTTCCTGTCACCAAAAGGAGTGATGTTGACAGGGAACTGTGTGCTATAACGGGATGCCTCTGCACTTTTCGCAGAGCCAGATAACCGTGAATGGCAACTCTGGCGGTGCTGTGAACCCAATGAGTTACTACCAAAGGCCGTTTTCCCCTTCAGCCTACTCTCTCCCAGGCTCCCTCAACTCCAGCCTTATCATGCAGCATGGCAGATCCCTTGGTAAGTAATTTGTTCACCATGATTTCCATGACAGTTTCAATATGACAAATGCAAACCACCTGAGAGAAACAGAAGACATCGAAGTGAACCAGGAGTGCTCAAGGCCCCACTATTTGATAACCCTTCCTAGGGAGAAAGTGGGGCAAAGGATTTGGTGTTACAGAAAGGAGGTGCCCAGCTATGCAGAGACAGTGACTCCATTTGTGTCTGAGCCTGGAGGTGTCTATTCCATGTTTGAGGTATAGGATGAAAAGAAAAAGAAGATACGGAGTTAGGAAGAAGAGAGTCTATGCTACCCAGAGAATATTAATGGAATGCTTTTCCATTGAGGCAGCTTGTTCCTTTGTGGAAGAGCTTTATTGCAGACCATCCTTTCGTTGTACATAGAAGGAAGAATTCTTTTAACAGTTATATTGCATAACCAGAGGGCAGACTGCCTCACACAGTGGTAAAGCAGTAAAGTACTGTACTGGCTCAGAGTCATAAACTACTATTCAAATGGAGGCCTAAAGGGAGTCAGGGAAGCCAAACAAGAGAAATTTAAGAGGTCCCTTAAGTGATGATTCCATAATTTTGTTGAGAGATAGTTTTTCACCCTTTGAGTATTACAAATTAGATGAAAGATATAGCCTGGGGGGTGAACGTATTAACATGAAATTTTTTAAAAAATTAAGCATGCAATTTTGTACCTTTCATGAACACTTTGAAGCCTCCTGGAAAACAATGTTGTGTTATATAAAGATAGAAACATTCTTAGATGGTTCAATATATTAGCATACTTTAGAAAATAATGTAATAAATATCTCTTAGTTTTTAAAATGCAATTTATAAGCCCAAAACATTTTTAAGAACAGCCCCAATTGAACCAACAGGTTCCAGATGAAAAATATTCCATGATATTAAGCAACTAGAAAGCTTCCAAAAGCAGAGAGGAAAGTGAGGAGAGTAAGCCATAGGCTTCTCAGGAAAGAGGGAGACCCATCCTCTGGCCATCACAAGTCAGCAACAGAAAGAAAATAACTGGAACTTCACCATATCTCTCTTCCCAACATGATTCTGTATTGAAAGAACACAATGACCCCAGTTTGCTAAAGAACGTTTTATGTCAACATCCAGCATGCACTTGGTAGAACTCAGTTTCTAAGGTCACAAAAGCATCTATAAGATTTTAAATCTAACCATGGGACTCATTAAGGAAAAGTCTAAATATGCTTGTGCCTCCTTTAATACTACTCTTGGGAAACATCTATGAATCTTATAACAATATCCTTTTAGAGTATAAGAAAGTAGAACTTCCTAGCTGGGCTTGATGGCTCACTCCTGTAATCCCAGCACTTGGGAGGCTGAGGCAGGAGGATAGCTGTGAGTTTGAGACCAACCTGGGCTGCATAGTGAGTTCCAGGTCAGTCTCAACTACACAGTGAGACCCTGTCTCAAAAAAACAAAAAACAAACAAACAAAAAAAAGAAAGTAAAACTTCCTTGTGCCAAAAATTTTCCCTCTAATAATCAGTCAGTAGTTTGGTATTATAATACTACTACATTATATTTTTGTAATGAAACAATGAATTATGACACATTAAAATAAAACTATAAATTAATCTAGTTATAACATTTTCCCAAATGATTACAAAGTGTGATGTTTTATCTCACTCCCTTTCTTAGGGAACATAGTATTGTCCCCACCCACAACCCCACCTTGCCAAACAACAAATGTAAATATTTGATTATAGATAGGCTTTGAACTTAGATCACATTAATTGGCACATAAACTACATAAAAGAAATGCTGCTTACAAACGTTGAACAAATTTCAACTAGCCAGTATTGTGACAGAAGCAGAATTTGCAAGTCTACTACTCTGTCCTAAGTAAACATTGTGGTTAGTTGAGAATAAAAGATTGCAAAGATAAGATTGTATAAAAAAGTAATAAAATTAAGGGGTAACTTCCATTGCCTAACCTACAGGTTTATGCAGTCTTATGAATCCATGTAAAGAATGATTCAGTTTGTTTACTGAAACTCTGCGCATACTAGGTGTTAAAAAAAAATATGGCTGATAGAAACACTAGCATAAAGTTAGTCCAGTCCTTTCTGGAATTAATAGTCAATCAGAATCAAATACTTCATTGTCTCTTAATTTGAAATAGCTTTAAAAAGACATGACTTTATATCCAATGGCATACAAGCAGTTTTGTTCTTACCTTTGCCCATTTTCAAAAATGTATTGAAATGATTTTCTGTTATAAAGTACATTAAAGTGACCATAATGATAGCAATAGCAATTATAAACATTTTAGTCGGCTTTACCTTAGAGAGGTATCCTTATAAAGATGAGTTAAATTTTTTAAATGACTACTTATGTTTTATTCAAAATTTTCAAGAAGAATATATTTTATGTGCCATATATATTTTCATATAAGTGAGTGTGTATCCCCATACACAATGAATCCTACCTTGAAACATAGAGACAGTACCATTTCTATATAAAAGAACTTTCTGAGTGACAGACCTACCAAAGAATAGCATAAATAATATAGACAAAGTATCATTATTGGTTGCCAAAATGCTGTTAATTACAGAAAAACAAAGTCATATTAGTAATCATACCAGGTAAATGGGATATTCTCTGCTGCTTCTAAAAGTACATTAGACATTAATGAAAAAAACATGCACGTGGAAACTTGATAATTCTCCTCTAATTTATATCCTTAGAGCAATTGCTATCCTCCAGGGACAAACAGTAATAGCTTTGGTATTTCAGCCATCTAGGCTATTTAAATAATATTCAACCAATACTAACAATGTGAAAGTATTTATTGACCTATAAGTCATTACATCCAAGCATGTGTGTGGGTGTAAAATTTTTTAGTTATTTTGGTTTCACTTTATGGAATCACTGACATTTGCTCACCTGCCCTATCTTTTGACTAATCAGACATTTCAATACTTGTCAATAATGGTAGCCAGCAGTATCTCAAGAATAATATTAGTGTCAATTATGAACTGAGGGAAATTACTAAACTTTTCGCAGCTTTGGCTCCCTCGCCTTTAAAACTGATTCTTGCCCCCCAACCCACCTGCCCCAAAGATTCCTGCCCAAAAGGAAGGAAAAGATGAGGTAACATCTGTCAAGGGCTTAAGCAGCAGTGGCTGGCACAATCTTCCAGCAGGTTTCACTCTTCCCCTCACATTCTTCATAAGGTGTTGAGGTCTTCATTGTTAAAGGCCTGTGTAATATAATCTACCCAATATCCATGACACAGTGAGTGACTCCGATATAAAATAAATGAGCCAAAAGACGTGACGATGGAAATATGGATCTCATGTTACATGTGACATAAGTGTACAAGAGGCACCCTTCATCTACAATTTTTTGTGGATTCAATGTTACATGTTATATTTCACCAAATATTCTCCACAGATTCCTCAGAGACATATACCCAGCATGCTCAGTCCCTGGATGGCACCACAGGCAGCTCAATACCACTGTACAGATCCTCTGAGGAAGAGAAGAGGGTGACAGTCATCAAAGCCCCGCATTACCCAGGAATTGGGCCTGTGGACGAATCTGGAATCCCTACGGCAATTAGAACGGTAGGAAATGCCAGCATGTGCGTCTGCCTGCGTCTGGGCTCAGGCTTCACAAAGGATGGATTGTGTGTGGCTTTATGCATTCCTGGGGCCTTATATAATGAGGATTGCCCTCTGAGCCAGTGCGTTCTCATGAATATTATGCTGTGTGGCAGAGAAAGAGGACTGTCCAGTAAAGAGAATGGCGCAATCTGTTTTTCCATTTGAATTAAAAATTATGATTCTGTTAAATGACAAAACTTTTTTGTTTTGTTTTACCTTCTGTCGAGAAGAGGTAGAGCCATAGTGAGAAAAGACAAGAAACAGCAACAACCCCCCCCCAAAAAAAAAAAACCTGTAAATTCTTGGGCTACATAAAATTCCCACACGCACTGCAAACAAACTAGTGATTTGTTTCTTAAAACGGATATGTGTTAACACTAAGAGACGGAGAGCCGTGAATTGGGAGCTGGGAGGTGAGATGATCGGGTGAAGGGACTTAATGTCGTGGAAAGCAGAAACTATCTGAAGACAAATACACATTCCAGAGTCCCTCTTCAGCTGGTCCCGCTGAGAGCTCTCCAGGGATGATAAATGAAAGTGTGGAGATTTGTTTTTAAGTCTTTCAACTCTGCCAAAGCATTGCTCATTGTGTCCGGGCAGCCCCTTCTGGTAGAGCGCAGCAGTAGCACAGGCAGCAGGGAGCAGGGCAGGCAGCTGCTGCTGACCAAGTCCACTTGAAGAAGAGGTTTGTGCTACGGTAGCCAGAGAAGGAAGACAGGAGCCGGGATGAGAGGCACAGCAGCTCTGCAGGTGACATGCACGGGAGGTGTGAGCAGGGAGCCCCCGCTGCACACCCTTTGCCTGTTAGACCCACAGAATGGACTGGGGTGTTGCCAAGAGCAGCTTCCCTGGAACGCAGACCTGGGGGGCCAGGTCGATAATGAATAGAGGAAAAGAATGGGAGCGATATGGAGGGACGCAGTGGTCAGGTCGGGAACATTCGAAAAGAACGAAAGGCAAAGTGTGTGTGTAAAGGGTGGGGGTCCTTCCCTTCTGGAATTTTTATTTATCGCATCAGGATTACATGTTTTATATACAGAGATATAGAGAAAGCGAGGGAGAAATACGTGTGCTATTCTAAGCTTTTGCTTTAGAGTTAAATCCGAAAAGTAAACCGATGTAGCAGGCGTTGGGTTTTAGACTTGTTAGATTGCAAGAATGTTGATCATTACTAATTGTAAAGTCCTAAAAATCTGTGTTGGAACTGATGATTGTCATGTTTAAGTGACAGAAAATGTTCAGGGATAATATTCTTAATCTTTCGATGATTACGTGTTTTGGGTGATGATGCTCTGTCATTTGTTTTGCCTTTAGAATTTCTGGCTCAAAATGGTTCAATTTGAACTCTTTCTATAATAATTTAGGAATACCAACAGATAGAATGCCATAGGTTTTGCTTAGTTAACCCTTAAGGTATGGTGCATACTCAAACTAAGAAATCCTCACTTGCTATCTAGTTATAGATTCTGTCTGAAAAGATTTTATCTGAAACCTCTGGGCATATTTTTAAGTCAATAAATGATATGAAAGATGGACATGCAAACCAGATGCATTATTTTTAGTCTATAAGATATAACATTAAAAGGACAATGTCTTGTTTTTTTAGTTTTTAAAAAGAAAAACAGATGTTGGAAATGGTTTACAAAAATCAAGTAATACCAATTTTTACATTGTTTTTCAACTGCCAAATCAAAAGCCTGCTTAAATATGCATAAGAAACATAAACTAAAAATGATATGCTAATTTACCATCTTTAAAATAAGCAACACAGATGTTCCTTATAAGGAACCATAATTTTTAGGTACAGTCGTGCTCTTAGACCTTTAAGGCTTTACAAAGAAGGTGCAGATCTGTGGAAAGTCTTCTCTTACTCACGTTTACTATTTTGCAGTCCTATAGAGGACATCCCCAAGTATAGCTGTGTTTATAAATGTGAGTCAGGCATCTCTGAGCCATAGCAGGCCAAGAATCTCCGAAGCTGTTTTTGTTCCTTGTCCATGAGGAAAGCAATAATTATCACACTCACACTTGAATTGTTTCATGTTAACTCCCTGCTTCGTGTGCCTTCAAAGTCAGTACTACCTCAATGTACCTTGCCATGGTACCATCTTAAACGATCAACATACACCGAGGCATCAGAGTTTTTTAAATAGTGTAGAAACTCCAGAAAGCCAAGTATCAATATATACCACCTTTGAGTCCTTCTAGTGAAGGAAAGCAACTCCAGTTGCTCTCTCTCTCATGTGTCCTGAGATGTCTGTTAGCCTTTTACTGCCATTCTTAAAAACAACAACAAAAATCACTAGGGCTCAGATCCCATGAGACTGTATATTAAAACCTAGTTATATGATGTGCAAGAGTGTTTTCTTTCTTGTAATTCAAATATAATGCTTGACCATTTTCAAAGCCAGAAAGGAGCAAAAATAGAGCAGAATCACTACTTACATGTAGAAAACATGCCTCTTTTCTTTTTGGAAATCTTTGCATATCAAATCAGTATGGAGCCCTGATGTCTCATAAACTGTACAGATGTAAAAATTGAAATCTATTTAGCCAAAGTTATAACTGTACAATGAAGTCCTAGTCATTATTTTCATGCAAAATGAAATGCTCGAAGAACATACCTAAAAGTAAATTTCCTCAAATTTGAATAGACTTCAATTTTCATAGTCTCAGTATTGGGTGTAACAATCTCTATGTTGACATTTATAAAAGGAACTTTAAATGCTCACAGTACTGCTTTTAGAAAGAGACTTTGAGTCTCAGTATTCCTGTCTTACCAGTCTCATGTTCTCCTTTGCCAACTGACTGGGCATTTCCTGGCATCTCCGTGCTGACCATATAAAGCTAGTAAATGGCATAACTGTGAGGTCCTGCCTAATAGAGGCCCTCCAACCAACAAAGGAAAAAGCTCTTCCTGTAAAATGCATCTCCATAAACAGTGATATACCTTACTTATTTAAGATCCCGTATTATTGTTGGTGTTGTCCAGGTATGGGCAGAATGCATGTTTTCACAGTTGTATCTTATTTTTGCTAGCTTGAGTACCACAAAAAAAAGAAAAAAACACTTAATGAAAGAGAAATCAGTCTTTTGTGATAATAACACACAGTGGGCTGAGGATGTAGCTCAGTGACAGAGCAGTTGCCGAGTATACATGACAACCTGGGATCAATTCCCAGCACCAAAAAAAAATTTTTTAATGAAAAAATACATTTCTGCTATTTTGTTTGAAACAAAGAAATAAACCCCTGCTTGATTGTTACACTCCTTACCACCAGCTCCCTATCACTGGACTACATAGTCAATCAACAAACCCTTTAATTTTCAGTTGTAGAGTCTAGAATGCAGAGTTGATACATAAGAAAATGGCCTTTAATTTTAATCTATATTTGTAGCGATTACCAGAATTGTCTGTTCTCAGAGATCAAAATGAATTTAACACAAGACCTTCATTTTCCAGATAAAAAAATGCAATGACCCCATTTTTGAAAGATATTTCAAAATATAAAATCCCAAGCAACACTTAGTCTAACAAGTACAAGAATATTTTATAGCAGACTTACAAAATTTTTTAAATCTAGAGATTGGTCTGCAAATTTTACCTGGTCTAACTGGAAAGTGCTGTGTGTTTAAATAAAAATATTGTAACAGTCAAAGACACATTGCCGTCAGTGCCCCTCCAAATATCCCCCCTTGCTTTGAACACCGCTCATTCCATTGCTCCTCGCCACTTTCGGGTGAGGTTCTGGAAGTCTGCTTTCATGAATGTCTTTAGCTGCACTGTCCTGGCTGCCTCAATGTCCTGATTTGATCTAAAACGCTTACCTTCCATGGTCATTTTGACTTTGGAGAAGACCTAAAAGTTGAACAGTGCCAGGTACAGTGAATAAGGTGGATGAGGTCACACTGTAATATTTTTATCAGTCTGTCTATCTATTGCAGGACACTTGGCAGCAGCATTCACCGTATTTTCGTCGCACCTAATAAAGACACATAATTTTTTAATTTAAATATACACTATACTTTCTGGTGAGCCTTTGTACTTAATTACAGAGAATGGGGTTCTTGCCTGAGCAGTTCTGAAAGAGCTGAGATACAGATCTCACCAAGCAAAATGTTTAATTACAGTTATAAAGGTGTGTGTCTACTCTTACCACTAGCTAGGGTGAGTCTAGCCACATGTATGATGACAACCAAATCCTCACTGATTTTTGAGCCAGTTGATAACTGCCACTGTTGTCCATCCTTTGGGGACTTCTAACAGGAGAGTTTCCCACATCAAGATGCTACTAATCAGCGGAGGGTTCAGTGTAACTGTTCCCATGTCCATGCCTCTGTTAGTATTTGACTGGCAGTGTTATGGGCTTCTTTAGTGTTCATCGTCCTCCTGACCGTTTGGAGGACAGCAGGCTGTGGGAACTCATCCTACCACCAGAGGTAGCAGCTCCTGGCTGTTCTTCATTGTTCTCCACTGTTCTCTGCTGCTTGTGCCCGACTACTGACAGCTTTCAGTACTGGAGGCCTTTAGTGTTATCAGGCCCGGCTGCTGGAGGCTTTTAGTGCCAGGGCCTTAGATGCTGCAAGCCCCTGATGTATGAGTTCAGCCTAGGAGGAGCTTTATTAGGTCTTCTGCTGAATCATAAGCGGGGACAGCACACTGCACTGAGCCTTCTAAGGGAATGGGGTTCTTGTATTTGTTTTTAAAAGAAAAAAGCCAGGCTTGCACATGCACATTGTCACCCTTTCCATTTGGTCATGGGTAGGAGAAAGGCCCCTGACAGGCCTGAGTGATGGAGGCTGCAAAGGGCAGAATCATGCAGAGAGGCTGCAAGAGAGCGTCTTCTGGGTTAGGCGAATGAAGCCTGCTATAGCTAAAACACTTCTCTCCCCGAGCGGCTGTGATGTGCCTGAGGCAGCCAGAATAGCTGCCAGGTTTTGGAGACAGCTGCAGAATAAAAGTAGCTTTTCGAGAGTGTTCGGGCCTTCTGTCCTGTGCAGGTGTACAATAAAGTTGAACTTACATTCAGTAAGCTAGATTTAGTCAGTATTTTATTTTACAAATATTTGAGAAATATTTAAGATTCTGTACTGTTTATGTTTATTGACCATTTATTATATTCTAGGTTCTTTTTGTATACATTATCCCATTCAGTTTCTATAATAACTCTGTGATGCAGATATCATTATTTAATTGAGAGAGAGAAAATTAGGGCTCAAAAAGTTTAGATGACTTTCCCAAATTCTTATTGCTAGGAAGTATTAAACAGTAATTTGAGTCTTAATTCAAGATTGAACATTAATTTTGTCTTGCCAAGGTCAGGTCCAAAGCCCAGGATGCATAAGGATCTTCTCCTCTCAAAGACCTAAGAATTTACCAAGGCAAAAGTGGTGTACACTTCATTATCCAGTTAAGGGAATTTTGGATCAATGTCTACATATTTAGATAGTTCTGGGTCTCTAGATTGTCTACCATATTCAATATTTTAGTAATTTAGATCAGTATATATCAAATTTATTTCTTTTAACCTAAGCTGATCAAAATATAGTTTGAGTAAAAAATATTCCCTAGTTAATACTAAAAATAATGTCATGATATCTCTAGATAATATGTTGAAGTTTTTAAGGATAATGATAATCACCAAAAGAAATTAAGTAAACCTTTGCAACATTAACTGTTATTCAGAGAATTTTATGTGAATATATGTGTGCTGATATCCACTATCTAGTACTGGCCACAGCTATAATTTTAATAAGTAAAACCATAGCATCATATGTTCTATTCAGCCTAAACTCGAACATGAGGTAATATATTTACATTTTACTGCACATCTAACTGGATAAATTACTAAAATTGCCATCAAATAATAGCACAGAATCTGGAAAGTTTATCACTGAAAAATCTATTAAAAAGAATAAATAGATGTGGTTTTTCTATAAAATGGAATATTACTCAGCCATAAAGAATGAGAAAATAGATTCATTCATAGGAAAATGGATACATATTGAAGATATACTAAGTGAAATAAATAAGTCACACATGTGTAAATACCGAATAGTTTCGCTGGTGTGAATAATCTGCAATAATACATAAGATCCTAATAAGATTACTGACGTTTAGAAATGGGAAGAAAGGAGCTAAAGGTGTAGGGAAGGTGGGATGGGTAGTGGAAGGGCAATAAGGGAAAAGAAAAAAATGTGAGATAATGAAAAGATGAAAATAAAGTGTTTGTAGATGGGGAGGGGAGGAGGGGGTGAAGGGAGGGCAGGGGTAAGTATATGTAGATATACAAGATCCCAGCAATGAATGTAACTGTACTGTATCCCTAAAATGTACCAATAAACTCAATTAAAGCTGAAAAAAAAAGAATAAATATAAGCCATGAAAAACACTAAAGAGCAATGATGGTATAAAATCAGTTTTGTGACTTTTGGACATTCTCTTTTGCAGACAGTCGACCGGCCTAAGGACTGGTACAAGACAATGTTTAAACAAATTCACATGGTGCACAAGCCAGGTGTGTACGCTCTTCTGCTTTCAGGACTTTGTAGGCTGAATGATGGTTACACCTCTTTCCTGTATCTCTTGTTCACGCAAAAATGTCAAGACCCCAACAAACTTCATTCTCTGCCTCATTCTTCTCAACATTCCTCTGTTCTCCTATATCTCCCCTCAAGTCGCAGATCTGTGCCTCTGCGCGGCCCCAAGCTGCCTCTTAGAAAGTACCCCTGGAGGGCTGCCAGGCATTCTGGTCCTACCCGCTGTCCTTCCCCACCCACACCTACACTGGTATGTTGTCTGCCTCAACAGATTCCCTGTTCCTCCGTCTACTCTGTCTGCTCCTCATTAACACAATGAGCACAGGTACATCTGGCTGAGGATGCTCAGTGCAATCAACAGAAGACCTTTAAAGCACTTGCTAAAGGAAAATCATGACCCAGAAAGCTGGCCACTTGGGCAAATGAGGACAAGGGACTGACTTTGCATGCTGTGAAGAAATCAAGCAGCATGATAACAAAAGTCAGTCTGCAGAGGCCCACCAAAAAGCAGTATTTGGAAATAGAAAGTGGTACTGTGAACTAGGAAAAATGCGTTGCTTTTTCTAGTAAATTTCTGTTGTTTCTCTGAAGTTCTGCTATCTTGTGATAGTCACAGAATCTGTATTACCATAATATTTATGTTTCATTTTCTAGATGATGACACAGACATGTATAATACTCCTTACACATATAATGCAGGTAGGATGGCTTTCCTTGCTTTCAATGACTATTTTGTGCTTGGCGGTGTTGGGAAGAACTACACAATTTCTTGTTTTACTCCTTTGTTTGGCCATACCTTGTCAGCTCCTGTAATTAGGAGGATGCTCTCTTTTCTCAGAGGATGCATGACAAAAAGATTGATCCTTTCTCATGGAATGAGAACTGATACAGTTTTATCTCATTCCTTCCCACCGTTAGTTTATTCTGAGCTTCAGGAATGTTAAACCAAAGTGTGAAGGACAGTGTGAAGGAACGTACGGTAACCCCATAAGATAATAATCTTCTGTAATCAGCAGAGAGAGTGATTATACGTGGGTAAGATCTTTTAGATACATTTCCGCAAAACAAGTTAAGCAAAGTGTTTTGTGACCTTGTCCAGACTTTTGCTTACATATGCAACCATTTAATGAAAGATTTAAAAAATCTCCTTAGGCTGGGCCACTTTTCTGATTCAAAGTTGCAAAAGAGCGCAATTCAATCATTTCAATCCTCGCCATTTCTACTTATATTTGAGGGTGTTGACATCTTATTCAATGGTCTTAGGGCTGGAGTTAAGATCCCTAAAACTTGTTACCCTTCCTTGCTTTTTCCTAAATGGGAGATTCACTTAGGATTCCTTCTACTGCCCAGCCTCAGTCTGTGACTACTGCAGCCACCCCTTCGTCAGCTAAGCCCTAATGTAGGGACCTCTGGCAAGCTTGGAAGCAGACTGGCATGGTACTCTCCCCTCCATGCTGCCTGAATTGGGCCTCTAACTGTTAGAGAGTTTGCTACTTATCTCAAATGTCAAATAGAGAAAAAGTGAGTGGAATAATCTTAGCAAGCTATCTCATCTTTGGTTTTAGGTCCTGGCTCCATAATATCCATTATTATATTCTCTTTTGCTTTTCCTAATGATCACAGGTACACAAAATGCACCTCCTTTACTTAAGTCAAAAGCTAAAATATGACTGTGGTATTGAGGCAAAAATATAGGCAAACATTGTTTCTTTTCATTTGTCGTGGAAATTGGCATGGGTCTTTAGAGGCAGATGGACACAAATAGATGTAGCACAAAAGTTATAAGTTGAGCGAAATCAGAATTTTAATACTTTTTAAAATAATGAAGTCTGTGTCCCATTATAATTAGTGAAATGAGAGTCACGCACATATTATCTTGCAGAGCCCTGCAAGTTTTAGTCTCTTCCCTTTTAAGCCAACACCCTGCTACTTGATGTCTTGCTTAATTTTGCTTTTTCCTCCTCTGTGCTATCCCTGCGAATATCTTACATCCACCAAAATAATCCTTTTGGCCACGGGTTCCATATTATCTTCTCTGACCAATCCAACATCTCGTAATCCAGGAAAAACTTTGCTGAATTCCTGTAACTTTATTCTTACCAATGATTTGAATTGATACTAATAACAAAACAATTATTGATTGTTTAATGTAATCAATACTTGCGTGCAGAATAAATTAACAATTAATCCACAAATAATGAATAAACTGATATTTTTAATAAATTAATAAACATTATGCCACTTAATATATGCAATATCAATATGCTTGCTGTTAATAATTTTGGCAAAATCATTGAGTACTTTGAGTGACACAGACAACTTAATGCACTTTTGAAATATTATTTGCTTCTTTTTGGGTTTTTTTTTCACAATAGGTTTGTACAATGCACAGTATAGTGCTCAGTCACACCCAGCTGCGAAGACCCAGACCTACAGACCTCTTTCCAAGAGCCACTCTGACAACGGTACCGATGCCTTTAAGGAAGCATCCTCTCCAGTGCCTCCCCCACATGTTCCCCCAAGACCGAGAGATCGATCTTCAGCAGAAAAGTAAGGCATTCTCCCCCAAAGTGGCCTGTGGTTCACTTAGGGTAAAACTAAAGCCACTTAGCATTCAGTAGAAAAGTCAGCACAGAGAGAACTTATGCATGCTTTCAGTCCATACACGTACCTCTCGATTGATTCCCTCAACTGGAATTGCGTCAAACACTGTCACAGTCTTGACCATGCCATCACAGTGCCCTAAACTAAATTTGCAGTTCCACAATCAAAACATATGGTGCTTCTTTAGACTTAAAATTCTTTTATAGCAACAGACAAATCGTCATTCATTTCCCTCTCGCTTCAGATGCATGTGTCCTATCTTTCTTTCCACCATCTGAAGTGCTTCTTTCTTGTGTGACTTTGCACTGTGATCAGAAAACATGCTGACGGAGGCTGGCGAGGGCCATCCAGAAGAAAGGCAGGCTTCTAACAATACGTCCTTGTCCTCTTGATGTGGCACTGTGTGACTTCTGGCTTTTCTCTGAAGTCGAAATGACCACTGAAAGGACCTCAGGTAGCCACTATCCAGTGAGGGATGCAGAAGTGGGCTTTCAGAACCGCCTCGGACAATGGCCAGAATGCTGGGCTAAGCATGCTTGAAGCAAGAGGGAGGATGTGGAGGAGGATTAATGAGGATGGGACTTTTACTGCAATGACTTTTTTAAAATTTAAGCTTTCACTGTATTTTTTATCAGATTGCATATGCACATCTACTTTTTGATCAATATGTACATATAAGAGATAAAGAAATAATTGAAATGAATTTCCTTTGCTATATACTAGGTTAGAAATTTATACAGTTAATTTTCACTTCCTCGAGATTTAAAATATTTAGAATATTAATAAAGTATCTTTTAGAAGCCAGGGAAAGTTATTCATAAATCCTAAATCAGGACTTAGTTAATGAGTGTCTATCCATGACTCATTTCTACCAGCTTGTAGAGCTAATTTCACTTTTCCACTGAAGTATTTTTATACAAACTACTCACACTCAAATAAAAAAGTTATGAACACATTCCTGCTGTGTCATTATATTATGATCATGACTAATATTCCCAGGAATAGGTAATTCTTATTGAGAGCTCACTACAAGCCAAGTACTAAGCTAAGCACTTTTTCCTATATTAATCAATTAATTCTGAAATCATCTCAATGAGATATGGTCTACTACAGAGAGAGACAGAAAATAGTTAAGGAAACTGTAGTAATTTTTCCCATTGATACAGCTATTTTATTCCAGCCAGGATTTAGTAAATAAGGATATAAAAATTAGTCATTATTAATACTGATTTTTGTGAATTGTCTATTATATTCATTCACAAAAATTATATTCAATAACCCATTTTAAGGTCATGAGTAATTAATGATCAGGTAGAGTACAAGATACTGCAAAAGTAAAGATATCATGCATGAAGAATTTCTCATTTTGTTACCAATATCATGATGAACTATGTGGGATGCCTTAAAACAGAGCAATAATTGTCTGGTCACAAAGTAATATCTTCACTAACAAAAAGAATCAAATTTTACTGAGAATCAAATGTATTTGTTCTGTACCTTAGTTAAAAAATAATCTCTTGTCAAGAAATATGCTGGTCCCTTAAAAATGCCTCTGCAGAGAAAACAGACACAATTTTACTGTGTGTGTTTTACATAGATGTCAAACATCAGACTGAAAAATTTGAAGGAGTCTGCCAAACACTACTCATCTGTGTAGTAGAAAACTAGAACTTCTCTACTGCTGTCTCTTAGAATACTTCTATTTCAAAAATGCTCTAGAATTAGAATTTCATTCCATTGTATAGAATCCAAATTTCCCCAAACTAAAGTCAGAGAATTCATCTTCCTAAAAGTATACATCTGTAATCAATAAGTCCTTATTCCTTTTCCAACAAAAGCCTTCCCTTTACTGCCAGCTTGCAGGAAGGGTTGGACTTGCTAAGTCCTCCACTAAAGCATGACTTGTGAATTCCAAAAACCTCTGAATGACATTGGTTCAGGAAAAAGAGCAGGCTGCACTGAGACAGCTGTTGGACTCTGGTTTTTCAAGGCTCACACTAAAAGGGCTCTCCAGTGGCATTTGGCTTGTCCCTGTGCATGTCCACCCAAGTGACACTGTTGCACTTCTCACAGACAAACTCTGATGCCACTTAGAGGAAATGAGACCAAACACGATGTGTGAATGATTCCTTATCACTTTGGATCAAGGAAGCCAGGTCACGGAGTGTGGTAGGTTAAACTCTCATAGCTTCAGGGAGCATACTGCCATTTACTTTAAACTCAAACAGATACAGCTGAGTTAGAGACCTAGGGTTTTACTCACAGTCACTTGTCTGCATGTCTACAAACAAAGCATGGCAGTTTTTGAGCCAGCAGGAGGAAGTCGCATGAAAAAATAGAGGAAAATATAACATGAAATAAGAGAAATGCCTTTACTTGTCACTTATATAAATCAAAACATAAATGTGATATTCTTCGTAGACTAACTTTTTATCCTGAGAAATCATTTTTAAATTTATACCAAAATTAACTTTAAAAACAAATAGCAAGTGGAACGGTGCAGCCATGAAAGATACAGAATTAGTTTAATGTGTGATTGTTGTTTATTTCTAGGCATGACTGGGATCCTCCAGATAGAAAGGTGGATACCAGAAAATTTCGGTCTGAGCCAAGGAGTATTTTTGAATATGAGCCTGGGAAGTCGTCTATTCTGCAACATGAAAGACCAGTAAGCACTTATCATTAATCCCTATGCTAGCTCATTAGTCTTCCAAAGTTCCCAAAAAAACCTAAATTTCATGTCATTTAGCAATTTTTGTCATAAAAGTAATTTATTTCTTTGGGGTTAATTAGGAATCATGTTTATTTTGTGTTACAATTTGTGCATCTTACTTCAGAATTGACAGATGCGCTTTATCACGTATATGTGCAGGCGTGGGGGAGTCACATTAACACATAACAAAAGCTGTGCCTGATTGTGAACCTGAGTTTAACTTGAGAAACACTCAGAAATGTACCACTTAATTCTGTTTAGATTGCTAAGGAGAAAAATCATTTCTTAATCTCCCTGATGTATATACACCCAGATACATCTTTTGGCTCCCATATTGCATTCTTAATATTTCTTTCACTTGAGGAGAAATTTTCCAAGTACTTTTTTAAGAGAAATTATTTAATCGATTCTCATTAAGTCTCTCTCAGGTTACCAAACCTCAACTTTCCTGTTTGTCAGTCTAATGAATCAAGATAATATTTTACCCCACAGTATTTTTCTAATATTAATTGTAATTATGTACAAACAAAAAGATATATAAACTTGAAAAAACTACTTGCCTCCTCTAACTCCAAGTTAACACATAGGCCCTTCCCTGGACTTTCATTTTTGATCTCCCCATTCCTCCTTTCCATGCTGTCTGCTTTTCCTCAGAGATCAGTGCTCCCCAAATCTCTTAAATCTCTTCGATTCCTCTTCCTCCACAGCCTGCGTCTAGAAAACCACTTTCTGTCAATAGCAATTTACTTGTGTCCTTGATTTAAAAGAATTTTAGAATCAGTGATGGGAAAAAGAGAGTTTTCTTTGTTAGCTCCTTCAAGAGTTTCCAAGAAATCACATTGTTACATAGAATGCAAGGCCAGTGGTGATTGAATTGGAAACTGTTGCCTCACCACACCCAACATGAGTGTCCTTGATTTCATTTTTGAACCTCAACATTTGTGGTTGTATTCTTGAGAAACATGTTCTAAATCCTTATAATCACATAATTCCAACATGGCATTTATCTAGGTCTTATTTTTCTTTCTTCAAATAGCTCACTATTTCTTTTCTTTTTTTTTTTTTTTAGAATAACAGCTTCAACAGAAAAACTGAGTAAAAAAGGGACATCAGTGATTTTAGGCTCCCTTGTAAACTAACAATTCACTTGCAGGGTTATATGACTGAATATCAAGTTACTTGGAGTATTTCCAGGGTGAGAATTTAGTGGGCCATAGTGTCACCACTGCACAAAATTGAAAAGCAAACTAATGATCTTGTATTTAAATGTAAATGGACAAACTGTAATGATCATTCTAATAATTCATCAGACACTTTTATGATGATAAAATTGTAATTACACTGGAGAGCTTTTGTAGCTGTGGTGTCAGGAAACAGGACTGATTTGAGAAGTTTTCCCATCAGGATATTTCTGTTATTTACTCATTCAACAAAATTGGTTAGGCAAGCAAATAGTTATGTAGCACACTTTATGCAGCACAGCTTTATGTAGCGGGGGACACAATGGGGAACAAGATACAGTCTCTACCTTGAGGAACTTCATCATGTATGTGGCTACATGACTAGATCCGCATTCCCCAAGTAAGCAACTTACATGTCTGACATGGAGGCAGGTGCTGCTAAGGAGTCAACCCTGTGTCCCCTCTGCAGCTCACTCGTGGGTCCTGTCATTGTCACTGAAGTTCCTACATTATTCAAGTCTTTGGGTGAAGCCTTTGAAGGCTCTTGTTTTAAAATAGAAATAATAATAACAACAACAGTAATTATAATTCTTTACTGAGCACCATATGTACCAGCTATGTAATTAGAATTTATCTCATGCAATGTTCCTGGTAACCCCACAATGTACATACATGGTATTCTCATTTTATAAATGAAAAGAGTAAAGTATGCTTTAACTAATTTTGCCCCAGGGTTATATTACTGGTGGGTGCAGGATCTCGGGGGTGACCCCAAGAATACTTGTGCATGGCGTGCTTGCTCACTATTATATCAAGTCAGCTGGGTAGGGAAGATTTAACTGCAAGTCAGTGTCACCTTAGTTAGTTTATCTCGTTATTTTACAGTATAAATTAAATTATTTAGTGTTAACATTTCATAAATTTAATGTATTTGATTTAAAATAATTTAATGTATTTGATTTAAACCAGAGCCCTGAGTAATTATTACACAAAACCAAAGTGTCTAATTCTTCTTAAAATTATAGAAAGGTCAGAAACCATGCGTGATGACAGAGATTCAGATATGCATAATTCCCTTCAGCCAAAATAAAAGACAAGTAGAAGGAACCTGGAAACTTGGAAGGGTATGTAGTAGGTTATATGATGAGAAGGCAAGTAATATTCAAACTAGCCATGGCATGTTTTATAAAAAAGAAATAGAGTAGTTTGCCAGCATCTTGTGTTTTAAATTACTGTACTCTGCACAAATATTGGTTTTGCTATTTTACTTTTCCTTATATGATTAAAACTGAAAATAGGAGGGTTTTTTCTATTTTATGAAAATTTTAAAGGTTGTAAAACAATTGTAATGTTTTGCTGATTACTGAAATTGTTTTGCATGTTTTTTTAAAAAAGAAAGAAAGAAACTTGGCCGAGGATTTAGTTCATTGGTGCCACCACCTGCCTCAAAAGTGCAAGGACCTGAGTTCAATCCCCAGTACCAAAAAAATAAATAAATAAATGAAGAAACTTGGAAGGGAACAAGAATGAATATCTCGGGCAGGGGATTTAGCTCAACGGTTCGGTGGCCTGCCTTGCAAGTGCAAGCACCCAAGTTCAATCCCCAGTACAAAAAAAAAAAAGATATCTTATGGAAAAAATGAAAAGAACCCCAATCTTCTATCCTTCCTAAACAGTTTTGCTGAGAACCAGCTATATTACACAAAGTAATTTGACTATTATGTATCACTTTGGCCAGGCTTCTTTATGATAGGGCTAGTCTATTACCTTTTATAATCAACTCTGTATTCATCCTAATTACCTCTAAAAGTCAGAAAAAGAAAGGTTAAGTGGGCAGCAATGTTGCAGAGACTGGCTATGTATTAATGTAGTGTATAGAAGATTCTGAATGTCTGGAACACAAATACAGAGGGGGCAGAGCAGGCTTGCTAGATGATATTGATGTGACAACCAATAGGCAACACTTAGGCATTTCAATGCACCCTCCCGTCCTCTTATGCCAAGACTGGGGGCATTCCTGTGACCCTTTCATTTTTCATTTTGAAAAGTATTCACAACAGCTATGCAACTCGAAGTTGCTGTTTTGCATTCCTAGAACCACACTATTGGTCCAGCTTTCCTAGATATCATCTTGGATACCCCTCTCTTCAGTAACTCCAAAATCCACACACGAGGAGAAATGCCAGTACCATGTCTCTCTTCAGAACAAGAGTCCATTGCCTAGCTTACGGTGACATCTGTCTGATCCATTTTGCTAACTCTCCAACCTAGTGCATCTTTAGAAAATCTTTATAAAACCTTCAGCTCAAAATTTTCTCCTAGCTTTCCATTATCCCTAGAGAAAAATGCAAATGCTTTAACATAATTTACAGAAACGTGGCATTTGGCACCAGCTTAGCTCTCCGGCCCCTCCTCTTTCCTTCCTACTGTCTTTGTCTCACTATGTTCCAGCCACACAGAAAGCTTTTAATCCCTCTTTTGTTGAACCTTTCACAGACCAATCTCTCTGGCAGGAAAGCTCTCCTCCCTACCTCTCCCCTTCACATGAAAATTTCATCTCCTCCTTCAGGTCTCAGTCTAAGAGGTTGTCCCTCCCTGACACTAGGTATAAAGCTCTCCCTGCTGTACCTCAAGGTCCCTTACCATAATTGGAGTGACAGTGAACTGCACTGCCCTGCTTACATCTCTGTATCCCTCGCTAGGTTTATAAGCTCCTTGAAGGCAGAATCACGTGCGGTAAGGCATTGTATCCCCAACACAGAACATGGCTGGCATGTGGTAGGAGTCCAATGGCTATGTATTAAATAAGGCAGTGAATGAAAACAGGTTTTACCCTTGTGGTTGGTGGATAAAAATTGATGAGAGAATGAATCTTTTTTCTGTTACTTATTTATGAAGTCTGCACATTTCTAGTGACAAAAGGCCCAGTGAGTCCCCACCAAGGCAGGTACGAGGCCATTGACACACTGTTATTGGTAACTGTGGCTAACTAATTCATGATTTCCTGCCGGCACAAAGGAGACAGAAAAGGCAATAAAAAACACGTGAACAAAAGTCTACCCCAGATCTTGGCAAAAAGATCCGTCAGACGCCAGTAGCATATGCATTTATGTTCTTTAACAGGAAAGCAAAAGTAGATGCCATTTTTTGAAGCTTACAAATATTCATGTGACTAAATGGGTCTAACTTTCTTCTTGAAAAGCAGTTTGGAAACACCAAAGTGTTAAAATCAGATGCCAAAGTTAAAGATAAAGATAAATCTTTAACTGAGGATCCACAAATCAAAACCATATTTCTACAATTGACTTATTCCATGACACAACCATACCAACTCCCTAGTGGAGAGTTTATATACCATTGAAATTGGATATGCTTCTAGATGAGCCATGTTAGTATTTTTTAATTTTAAGGCAGCATTTGTTTAGGAGCTCCTTATGCTTGATGAAATAAAAAGTGACACAAAGATGTTATCTTTCCCTATGATAACTAAACCTACACAAAACAAAATCAGAAAAAATGAACACTGAAAGCACTGTACAGAGTTATAAAGAAATTTAAGCTAAAAGAAGACATAAACTCTATCAACAAAAATTGCCATTCCGAATTAAATGTATACACATTTGGAGAATTTTATCTGATGCAGTGAACCATAAAGATTATCCCAACTAACAATGTGTAGAGCATTTATCTTGGAGCCACAATAACTATACAAATATAAAACATAGCAGCTGATGCATTGAAACATAGATGCTAATGAACATATAAATGTTCAAGCACTTTTTGTTTGGAATCCTATATAAAAACAGAAGACTGATAACAATGGAATTTCTATAATTACAAAAGAAGCTAAAAGCTTTTAAAATATGGAAAACATAAAAACTTTACAAATTGTGCACCTTTGGTAGCTTTTCAATACAAGTCATGTGTGATTTACAGTTGTGGCTTTTCTTAAATACTTCTTTTTGCACTGGTGATGTAAAGGTAATGTTAAATCTGGGTTTACCAAGTTTTAAAAAATGAAAAGTTAAAGAAAATAGGATTGCAAAGATATATGACAATATGTTTGTCTTTTATAAGCAGTTAGTATAAAGCATATATACCTCCTAGATGGGTTCCTAAGTACTAATATTCACACTGAATTCAAATGGATTTGTGTCACACCAGGCGACCATTGAATTAGTGAGATAATTAGTGTGCATATATTTCTGCTGGCTGACCTTCTGCATATGTGTCACTGACTATTGTGAGATTCCTGTGTGCTTTAGCAGTGGCTCTGGCTTGCTACATAATATATTAATTGTTGAATAACTGAAGGAATCTAGTAGGTCAAACATAGCAAAGACAAAATTCTAGTTCTGCCACTTACCCTTCATTAACATAAAGGCTCTGCTCAATTATGTGTCATTTATTGTATTCTAAAGTTACTGACAATTGCCAGTTAATACTTTGGGTGTTATTTCTGCTGGAATGGATTCTAGATAGTTTCCCTTTGTAACTAGAAATTGAACTTTTTATAGGCAGAAATCACAATTAATGGGAAGTTGTCATTATAAGGTATGAAACAGAATGATATATATTCTTCTCCCTTTCCAATAGTCCATCATATTAACAATTTTTTAAATCTCACTTATTTTCTTAAGGTGGAAGTCAAAATGAAATTATAATGGTTAATTAATATATTTATTTGTTTAATAAATTTGCTGCCCTCTGCTGTTCATAAACTTCTTATCCCCAAGAGAAGTTTCTATCTCCTCTTAGCAAAATAAAATATTATTATTTATACTTGAAAGTAAAGGTTATAAAGCCAAGAGTCAATAATCACTAACTGCATAACACTAGAAACTACAAACTTTGAAAGAATAAAAGATTAGTTTCCCGTGGAAGAAATACTATGCCTCTCTTAACAATAAAGCTACTGGTAAAGTCTAATGTTGATTTTCCTTAAAACTCAGCTCTAGCAAAACCATTCTATGAAATAATTACATGTGACATCAGAAATTAACTAAATAGTATCTGACAAAAACATATCTTAGTAGGATCAAGATCTATTTTTAAATTAAATTATGTGATTATAACAGAATGATGAGGTTTTGTTTTGGGAAGCTGATAAATACATTTAACGTATCTTGCTTATTTTCCATTCCATTATTCCCTTTTCCCTTTCCTCCCCCTCCCAATAATGACAAAATCTTAATTAATACTTCTGAATTCAACAAATGAAGTAAATTTTAAATTAAACAGAAAAAAATAGCAAATTAGTTACTAGATTTATTTCTTTCCACTAATTTCACTATTACTTCTGGAATGTATATCAATAATAATATTGACAAAATAGGAAAATATTTCAGTATTTCTGTAGCATTTTCCCATACATAATACAATACTCTCTTTGATTTTTATACCTTGTAAAAATACCATTGTAACAACAAAGCAAAATAATATTTAAATGAAAGAAAAACCAAACATTATCAATACCAGAACATCCTATCGCCTTATGTGTGCAT